AAGGTAAATTTACTGAAATAGGAGTCGATCTGCTATGATTTTTAGGTTTGAACTCATGAAAAAATACATGAGGTGGCCAGAAATTAGGATCACATACAGTTTTAAAATATTCTACCGGCACATTAATCTTGAATGAAGCAATTTCTCGCGGAGTTGCGAAACTAAACTTGCTTGTAATAAAAGCAGATACTGCCTCACAGGTCGTATCAGATAAAAGCCTAGATAAGAAAACTTGCTTTCGAGGAGAGACGACAGTATTGCCGGGAGTGACTGACTTATTGTCACTCTTTGTTTGAACAACAGCAAAGTCCAATTTTCGAACAGGGACTTGAATTTCTATAGCAGCCTCAACAGGAGAAACAATAGATTCAAGAACAGGTGATGCGGGAACAAGTGAACTAGGAGCGGATGACAAAACTGAAAATCAAGGTGAGGGAGGGGCAAGCGAATTAGGTGACGATGTTAGCACAGAAGGAGGTACCAACAACGAAAGAGCCTCCAATTGAGAAGGGCAACTCTCAAAGCTATATTGAGTTTATATTTCTTCCGTAGCAGCTATATGGATAACTGCTTACAAATCTTCTTCGGTTGAAAATTGAGCCCTTACAGCGTTATACATTTTAGAAAATATAATCTGTTTTCTAAGCAAATCGGACAAGACCCACTACCAATTTTTCCTGTGGACATAATCTTGTCATAGTCACGACCACTGAGACCTGAACATTTAGTATGCATCAAATCATCGCACAACCAGCAATTTACAAACTGCGCTTGTGCAGAGTCCACTGCCTGCCTGAACGAGAAAGATTTTTTGCAGCAACTCATATTGGCATCTGGGATCAAGTAGAAATTAAGCAGAAACATAAATAAAGAGAGCTTAAAATATGTTGACAGAGCGAGTCCAACAACAAACAGCCGTTAAAGAGCAGAAAGAAAGATTATGTTGAGAGAGCAAGTCCAACAACAAAACAGCCATTACAGAGCGTAACGAAAGAAAAACAGAGAGTATCACAGCACCACAATAGAAATCGAGAGAGCAAGAATACAAAAAAATCACACTAATCAAAAGTATAAAGTGTGAAATGGGGAGAGCGCCAAAAAATAGCAAATCTACGCTTCACCAAACTTCACAAATTAAAAAAGTAATTATAAAAGATACAGCAAACCACGGATGAAACCTTTCACAGGAATATGTAGCCACTAGCAACCGTCCGCAGTAAAAAAAAAATTAATAAAATAATCATTTGTAAAAAGTAAATAAATAAAAAAAAATAATTTAATTTCTAGACGTACAATCTTAATGAAACTTTCAGAACATAATCATATTGTTCTAATGTATGTACATTCTAAAGCACAAGTCTCTAGTAAAAAAAATACGCCTTTTACAAAGGTGATAGTGAGGGGGGTACATTACAACAAAAATAGAAATTATATTAAATGCATATAAGTCTACACATAAAATGTGGAAGCTCTAGCTCTAAAGGTGTAGTAGATATAAGTAATAACTAGCTTTCGATAAGGCTTTTAATCGATAATAAAATATCCGGAGTAATCGATATTTAACGAAAAAGTCGATATGCGCGTGATATACACGGACAAGTCAAGTCTCTAGCTCTTATATCTTCGGACAGACGGATAGACAGACAGGGCCAAATCGACTCAGCTCGTTGCCCTGATCAAGAATATATATACCTTGTGGGGTCTGCCACGCCTCCTTCTGCCTGTTACATACATTTAACAAAACCTTTATACCCTGATTTCCCATTGAAAATGGGTTCAGGGTATAAAAAGGAAAGTATTACAAATATTGCAAGAAATAGTAAAAAGAGCAAAGAACAGGAAATAACAAGTAAGAAAGTTGTAGTTGAGACTGCTCTACTACGAGATCCCCTGAACCCTTGGACACAACCTGAACCCTTGGACACAAGAAACATGCACACACATACACAAACATTTACACGCACATACACA